GGAGAGGGGATGCAGGCAGAGACGGGAGAGGGGATGCAGACAGAGACGGGAGAGGGGATGCAGGCAGAGACGGGAGAGGGGATGCAGGCAGAGACACATGCCTTACCCAAGCCTGGGTGCACAAGGGGAGGAAGAAGGCAAAAGGCCAAGAATGAAGGGCAGTCAGTCCGGTGGGAAAAATGCTTCCAGGGGAGCCAGAGAGGACAGCCCGAGTCCCGCCTGCGCCACAGCGCCAGCCACTCACGTGTGATAGTCTCGCACGCAGTAGATGTTGTTCTCCACGTCCACGGTGAAGGGAACCCCGTCCAGGCATTCATTGCACACGGAGCACCGGAAGCAGCCTGGGTGGTAGGACTTGCCCAGGGCCTGCAGGATCTGCGGGCAGGGCACTGAGGGGTCAGCACGGGCAGGAGGCTCAGCGCCGCCCCGGGAGAGGCTCTGGCTCTGAACCCCTGGCAGGTCTGGAGCAGGGGAGAAGGTGGGGTCCTTAGATTCCACCCATGTCAGAAGGGCTCCAGGAGGCTGGGGCAGGGGCTCACCATCTCCATGATGAGATGTCCACACACGCTGCACTTGTCCGCCGTCTGCTGGAACCCGGAGTACTGGGAGGGGACACAGGATCCAGGACACGTTGTGTGACAAAGGGGCACTCGCGGCCCAGTTAACACCTGCCTCCTGGCCTCAGGTCTCCACTCGAGTCAGAATGAGGATCGCTGCCCCAGTTCCCACCCCTGGCACCGCCGGGGCACAGCTTGGACTCACCAGGAAGTCCTCCTGGCAGTACACTTTCTCGCCCACGTTGTAGAACGCCTTCCCACGGAGTCGTCTCCCTGCAAGGATGAGGGTTGAGAGGGGTCCCTGGAATGCTGGAGACCAGGGATGGAGCCGCGCTTCCAGCTCTCAGCACCCTCCTCCAACAGATGAGACACTGGGTTATGGGTGGTTTTCTAGGTTGTTATTGTTATAATAACAAAATTTCAGAAAAAAATTAAAGAGAACATATTGTCGATAGAATTACTGCAAAAGAGGCCGGGCGCGGTGGCTCAAGCCTGTAATCCCAGCACTTTGGGAGGCCGAGACGGGCGGATCACGAGGTCAGGAGATCGAGACCATCCTGGCTA